TCTTTTCATAGTCAGTGAGTTGCCATAACCTGAACTTGCTGTAATTGTATTCATTGTACGTGTTTTTCTCAGCTTTAGGGTTTCTAATCCTCTTGATAAACCGGAGTTTCCAGCCGGCTTTAATGAGGGCGGCTCGTTTGGGCTTGGAGATACTCCGGTCCAGAAGAAGGATAAGGTCACGTTTGGTTCCGGTTCGGAGAAGACTCTGAGCTAAGGTAATGGCACCACAAACGTATGTTTCTGAGGAATGGAGAACTGTGGCGTAGGCTTCTCTTCTTGATATTTTTGTACTGCTTTCAATGTTGGAAATATCATAGACCTCGTTGATTTCTGGAATCAAATGTTTGTCAAATATTTTGTAAAGAAAATCCTGTTTTATGCACTAACGTAAAAAAATTCACAAGCTGATTAGCTATAACAAATTAAATTTTACCGTAAAAAATCTATACACTGTCAATGCTAGTTATTATCAACTGTCACAACGTAGGAGTAGTCATAATATATATTCAATTAATGAAGTTATAGGATAGGGAGTTGTACAATGACACTACATGTTTTTTTTATCGATACAGTATGGAAACTTTAAAAAATCATTATTAAATTAATATTGGAGGATAGTGAAGTAATTGAAAGCTCCAGCATGTGCACTTAAATATTTGAGTTTGCATCTTACGTTCAATCAATCTGTATTATTAGCTTCTTGATTAGGTGAAGAGAGCAAGGTAATCTTATTTTTGTTGACTTTAGTTTGTATGAAGAAAAATTATGGAGTAATTTATTTCACTGTCGTGTAATTGTCATAATACACTTCTGCCTATTTTGTATTTCTACATGCAAGTAGATACTTAATTTCTCTAAACCTACCAAACATTTTACTGAATAACAGGATAATGCTTTTCAACCTCCTTTTGGCACCAAACTCTCAAAATCAACTTTGCCAAGTTAGTTGTCAACAATATTAGTAGTCTCATCACCTTGCCAAGAAATGTAAGAATATTATTACAACTAGGTGAAGGGAAAAAAATATGTAATAATATTGCTCCCTCAATTTCATTTTATGTGGCAAAGTTTGAATAGACACGAAATTTAACAAAGAAATAAAATTTTTTGAAATTTGTGATCTATAACAAATCATAGATATTTATGTGGCTATAAATCTTATTAATGATAAAATAAAAAGTTTAAATTAAAGTTGAATTATTACCAAAATTAGAAAGGTTTCATTCGTTTTTTAGAACGGACAAAAAAAAATGTTGCCACATAAAGTAAAAGGGAGGGAGTAAACCAATATTATAAAGTCGTAGTACTGCGCCTTTCAAAAGGGCGCCTGTAGCTCAGTGGATAGAGCGTCTGTTTCCTAAGCAGAAAGTCGTAGGTTCGACCCCTACCTGGCGCGTTTTAATTTTAGATTTGAAACATCCTAATACCTTTTTTCCGTAATTACCATATAAAACTTGATACTGTAAACATTTTTAACCCGTATAAAATTTAAACTCTTTTAGAGAACTGTTTTGCAGGTCCTTATTTTAATTGTCGGAAACATAATGTATAATGATTTAACCGTATGCTTTTTCCATTTACAACCAACTTCTAACATCAACAAGATCAAGAAAAGAAGACATTAAAGACTTGGAAATGAAAGCAAGTAAAATTTGAAATTTTTACGTACCTTTTCCCCAGAGAGGCAAAGCCAATTTACAAGAACCAATTGGCAATGAAACTTTTTGCGTCAATTTATCCATATCTGGCTCATAATACCACCAATTCCCTTCCCTTTGCTTTAACTCATCACATCTAAACATCTCCACCATTGGCCTACACTTACTCAAGAACACAACTTTCATCCTATTCCCATTATTCCAACCCTTTTTTCCTCTTTTCACAGCCAAATTTGCTGCCACAAGATTAACTTGTAGCCTATAAACATCTCTTCCCCACCCTTCTTCTGGATATTTGCATGGCAATTTCACTACTATCATGTCCATATAACTATAGCTATTAAAATCTGGCATGGGTATTTCTGGACATTCAGTTCCATCCATTTCTTCCTCTTCATCTATCCATTCTGGAAATAACTCTTTCCATTCTAACAATTTTGAAACTTTCTCGAATTTTACTTTTATTATCTGTCCGTGAACTTTCCATTCACTAATATCTTCCCCTTCCATATTCACCATTCCTATTTTCATTCCTCTCCCCATTTCATTCAAGAAACTTGGCTTTTCGCGCTTCACCATCTTCTTCTCTGCCTTTGCCTCATTCACTACCAACCTTTCTTCTAGCACTGCTTTCATCTTTATCCCACCTTCACCCTATTCAGATCAAGAAAAAAAGAACTTTAAGTTCCATGCAGTGACAATGTAAATCTTTTTTTACATAATAAAGTAGTAACTTATAAGGTAATTACAGAAAATTTTTATGATAAGCATTAATAGTGATCCGGTAAAAATGTGAACTAACATGCTATTGCATGTTAAACTAAACTTATATTGTAACTAAAATCGTTACGGTGTAACTTATAACAAACGATAAATATGCCTCATGCCCAAATAAGTTGGGTTGGTTATATGAATCCTTATTGATCATGTTACTCCAGGTATATAACAAAGCATAAATGCCTCATGGATTTTTCTCTTTCCAAATAGATAAATCTTGATTTATCCGTTCTCGAACTGAAAAAAATCCTTGAGCCGAGGGTCTATCGGAAACAACCTTTCTACTTCAAGGTAGGGGGTAAGGTATGCGTACATATTACCCTCTACGGACCTCACTTTGTAGGACTATACCGGGTTTGTTATTATTGTTGTTGACCGAAAAAAGAAAATAAACAGAAGGAAAAAAAAAGCTCACCTTACCTTATGATGGCATTCGCGCAATGAACATACAAGGGATGCTGCATATTCGTGGTAAACAGAAGTTGATGGCCGGAGAAGAAGCGCACCATATGCAACTAAGAAGCAAGCCAAGAAAACTAAGTTGATTTTGATGATCAATGCTTTAGAAGGAAGGAACTTCATAATCATCATTTCAAGAAAAACCCCAAGTGTAGAAACCAGAGTTCTAGTTCCTATGCTATATAAAATGTACACTCTCACTCTCTCTAGCTAATAATTGTAGTGAGCAAGTAAAAACTAGTAGTATATAAGTTAATTTGGAGTGATTAACATATATTTAAAAGGGATTTGGCAGCAGTTGTTAGAGACAGAGAGGTTGCCTAATTATGAAAAGATTAGGGGATAAGTAATTAGAACTACTAGAAAAGCTCCAAGTGTTGTTTCTTTGTCTTTTTAGATTTCCTTCCCTTGGAGATCACTATAAGGGTCGGACTAAATTAAGGAATTTTAATTGTTTGCCATATGTTTTAAGTGTTGTTCCTTTTATTCTTCATCTTGTAAAAAAGCTGTCGTATAATTTTCCTCAAATACCCATCCCTTAATCGCCAAGACACCGAGGTGATAATGACCGTATAGTCAATTTGCTTTTCTTTAAGGGAAGGGCAAGCATTACCCTCCTTTAATGGTTGAGTTTACTTTCTATTTATACATTAATCGAATCACCTAAAAAGATAACTACTCATAAAAAACGAGATTAGTAATCTAAAAAATAGGCAATTATCTGTTATAAAGGTTAAAATGTAATTACAATATCGTCGGTGCATACAAGATAAATATTCTTGTTATCTTTTCATATAGGTTTGCCGCTGGCAGTAAATATTGTTAGCTTGAGAAGACAATTATTATAAATAACTTGTTTTTGAAAATCCACGATTTGAAATATTTGGAAAACTTATAGCTAAAAGGAGAGGCGTCTGCCAACAACTTGTTTAGCTGCCCTGTCAATGTCCTATGAACAAGCAAATGTCGCTTTTAGCCGTTACGAAATCGCAAGGTCGCACCAATACTTGATTTTATACACATTTCGACAACTAATATTCTATATTCTGTATTTTTTTTTTTTAAATAAAAAAAATGATCGTCCTGAACAAATGAATTTAATAGGCTTTAGGTGGGGATAACCACTCCTTACCAAAACAAAAGATTGCCATGTCGACCAAACTAGAGATATTACGATAGAAAATCATTGTTGTACTCAATGTCAAATTGTCAACCCTTTCAATGATTATTATCACATAACGGGGCACCAAATATTGGAACTAATACCCAGCTCACCCTTGTTATCATCCTCCTTTTCCTATTTTAACAAGAAAGGAAATGATCAAAACTAGGTTGTTAACAACATTATAAACTATATTAATTGAAGGAACTTAGTTGCGGATGAGTCGAACTTTCTCTTCTCTTTGAAGTAAATAATACTATTAATATCCCTCTGGTTTCTAGAGGTTTTTCAATATCACTGTTTTTTAGAATTTAGAATTAAAAAGCAACCATTGTAGTTCTTTTTGACAAACCAAAAAGTTGCAAAGACATTTTGACTGCATCACATAATGTTTTCCGTTTCAAAAGGCTTCTGACAACACAATTATCACAAAAACTTTTTTCCGGAGAGAAGTATTGAAAAGGTTAAAAAAGGACTGACCAAAATGAATGAAAAGAAAACAAGAGTCCAATTGTTAGCCGCGACATCTCTTGATGACACTTGTCGTCAGCTCTGGTCCAAAAGTAACCTTAAATGCAAAGAAAGCCGGTACATTCATCAAATTGTTCATTTTTGCCCTTGTTCATTACATATTATATAAATTCAGAAGAGACCTTTCATTTATCTTTACTCCATCAGCGCCAGCAGTTGGTTCTTGTCTTTCAACCTTCGAGGAGCAGTTAGAGGGTGCAAAAACAGTTTATGTATAAATCAGCGTGCTCAACTATATAATTGGTTGTACAGCTAGTGGTTTTTAGATATAATTTTACTGAAACCTATGAGTACACGTCTATACATATTTTCGTCCCCAACTCAGGGTACCATAAAAAGGTCCATATTTTTCTCGTTCTCTCAAAATGAAAAAAAAAGGTGGGTGAAAGTGTGCAAAGCATCCTGGGATAATGTAAAATGACTAGGCACTGTCATTTGAGATTGAGTAACGTACAACAATTAGATAATAATGATCTCCTAATCAATCGGCATCCAATGGAATTACTGGAAGAGAATGAAATAATGGACATATTACCAAAAAAAAGTTGACATCGTAAATCTGATAGAAGTTATAGCACAAGAGCAAAACATAATTCAACAATTTAAACAGTGCAATGTACATATGACACCGAGTAAATTATGCCTCCAGTTACCAACTCATTGACTTTTTATGTATACATGTTAGTTGTTCCCTCATTAAATTTTCAAGCAAGACTTGATCCTTCGTGTATCTTTAAGCTATCCCAGCACTACCTGAGCATATCAAGAAATTAGTAATTGCTTCTAGAAACCCATGAAAAGTTGATAAAACAAGTCAGAGGGAGAAAGCATACGGAGCTTAACTATTTAGAATTTTCTGGTCGACCAAGTGCACCTGCCTCTATTTTGATTTGTTTCCAACAGAAGTCGGTTCCAAGAAATTCATGCTTTTGCGACATCTTGAATGTGCTGTGAATGGCTTTTGCCTGGAGGAATAAAAATAAGGTCCTCCCAGCCAGAATGTCTCTGACTTATCTGCCACGGGAAATACAGAGAAGCTAAGAGAAGTAAACGACAAGGGAGGGGAGGAGGGTACCATGTTAGAATGGTGTTGTTTTTGCTTTAACAAAGGATAGAATAAAAAATCTTTAAGATTTTAACTCACAGAATATTTCATCTATAGACCATTTGAAATTTAAATTTTGAGGATCAGCTTCATCCCTTATAATTTACCCCTCCTGCACGTGTGTCCCTTTCCCCAGAACCATATTGGCCCAGTACCAAACTCAACATAAACTTAAAACAATCAAACAATAAGAAAGAGCATAAAGATTGAGAAATGATGCCTGTGTTTTTATTCTCCAATTCTTCCTTACAATTTCCAGCAAGGAACAAATTTAACAATGTGCAAACATCTTTTGACAGTATAGACTGCAGCATTTAATTTTTGGTATTATCTTCATTTCTTCAGAAAAGAATGGGAGGGGGGTTGAAGCTGGTAGATTAGTCATGTATTCTGGTAGATTAGTCATGTTACTTTCTTTTTCTGAAATCAATAATTATCATATTGGTTCCCCAACAAGTTTCTGGGGGAGACGTAATTGATTGATCAATATGACATCAATTATCTGAACTCAATGGTGCGAAAGTTCATCATTACAAGGTGTGTAGTGCGAGAACAAATGTTATTGGTGCAAACAGAAGCAAGGAGACAAATAATTCAAAGTATAATAAACCTTTTAAAATATTAAATCCTAACAACATATAAAATGTCCAAGCACCTACCTCCATTTTTTTAAGGACGTCTTCCAAACTCCCCACCTGTTAATGAGGAAAAAGAATACTAGTAGTTAATGTTAGCTGCTATAGTGCCTTGTTAATTAACAATGGCAGATCAAACAACAAAAAACTTGACGAATGCAGAAAAGCCAGCAAACATAGGCCTTTCATGGACAAGCCTGAGATAGTAAGTCCAATAGGAATCTTTAGAAAAGAACAGGAACACTGTTCTTTTGATAGCTTAGTTACATAGAGAGGATTTTTAAACAGCACAATGTTAATGTCCTTCGCATTCATCAAACCTCTTTCAGGGTTATTAGCTCCATTTCCTTCTCATAACTGATGTAGGAGATTTTATATTAACGTTATAAATAACTAGGGAAACGTAGCTCTATATTTCAAGTAACTACTTTAAAAATAGGACTTTCAACTGTTAATCCTCTCCATTGCATGCTAAATTTAATATGTTATGCTCTCCAAATGGAACTTGTTGCATGTGAACTCAAATTTAAAAATCCTCTCCACACCTTTAGTTTGGAAAGAATTTTCCAGCAATTTTACTTCTACCAGCATGCCTCAAACGAAAAAAGTGAAAGACATTATGGAAGCAACATACCCCCCAAAAAAAACCCCCCAAAAAAAACAAAAGAAAAAGAACACACTTATGGAAGTGAACAGTGCAGGGAATGAAACAAACTATGCATAATTATTAAAAAAGCATCTTTGGAGATTCAGACAATGCTAAGCTTGATAAAAGAAAGATTATGCCAATAAAATTTACTCCAAGAAACTTATTTAAAAATCTCAAAGACATTCTACATTCACCTTTTACAATTTTTGAACATTCTAAAACTATCTGCATGCCCTATTGGAAAGCAAATAGAAAGAGTGATTATGATACCATAATGTGCTGAGAAGCACCTCCTCTAGATGCCCTTGACGATAATTCCTTTTCTATATCTTCCTGCATACCAACAAATGAATTCAATTGATAACCATCATGAAATTTTTTTATATCTTCTGACTGTACAAGATATAATTACATTCTACATTTCAAGATGCTAAACCAACATACCTTTCGAAAGTATATTGGACAGTATCGCCTGTTTCTTTTTTTCACAACTAGGAGGTCAGACTGCAGGAGATAAAAAAATCTAAAGAATTAAGTGGAGTTTAACCATATTCAGTACAGTCCTCCCTCAATATATAAATTTTCCATAAGAAACTTTGCAGTGAGTGAAGTTCGTAATTCTAAAAAATACACAGGCTGAGTATATAATTCTCATAGGTTTTCTAGCATATAGTTGGCAAAGAAGTTTATATGGTACCTGGAAAACAGGGACTCCATCAAATCCAGTCTTTACATCAGAAGCTTTTAACTGTCACAGTAAAAAGTCAATGTTAAAATGAACAGATTTATTAAGCACACATTAAAATGAACATGTTTATGAAAAAGAGATTTTTTCCTTGTTAAGAGGAGGAGAAGGAGACAGAGATCAGGTGGCAGTGGACGTGAAGCCATTAGTAATCTATGCATCGCTAGAATCAAAATCTGCTAGGCTAGCGAGCAAGAGCCTACGTACAAGGCATGTCAGTAACCCGAGTTCATATCTTGGGAGGACCTCCATTTTGGAAATCTTAAGTTTATCAGCAAAAAAAAAAAGGCAAGGGCAGGTCAGTGACATTCAGAATTGGTGGGCTGCAATCAATTTTACTGCATCTGTTCATTAGTCAAAACTACATGCCAGCGTACTTTCACTTAAAATTATTACATGTAGATGAATATATAGTATAACTTCACTTGCACAACCGGAACAGGAACCCTATGCAATACTACTGAATTCAGAGAAAACTACAAGGATCCCAGACCCAAAATTTAAGTAAGACCAATGAGGATAACAACCTCTATTGCATTCTGAACTTGAACAGGATCTGGCAAAAATCGAAATGTGATTCCTTCAACCTTCAACATATAAACC